TTGATTTTGCCCCCAAAAATTGATTTTGGACTTTTGAACTCCAAAAGTATAGAAAAAATGCATGTTGTTGTAAGCCACCAAGTTTGTGGTAATTTGTTACAACCACCATAAGAAACTAATACAGACACTATGAGGTCTTGTGCTTACTCAAAGGTTCACATTTCTGTGTGAAATTGCATCTAGTCTTATTTAATTTCCGTTTCTGATATTCTACTCACCTTGACCAGACGCACTGAGCAACTTACAAAGATGTATGTTCCCTTTGTGTTTAAAGGTAACACTTTTCATTTAAAAAAAAAAAATCCCTATTTGGCATCCTCTAATCCTTGCTTACCATCTTTCCTCTTCCCTCTTCGTATACCAAAAATATGTTCCCCAAGACTGGCCTTGACCTCTCCTCTCCCCCTCATAACCTTTTACTTGGCACCGTACTCACTGCCACACCGTTAGCTATTCCCTATGGCCATGTTCTCGGCCCGCGGCCCACGCTCCAGGCGCGCATCACCAGCGGTACGCGGCCAGTCCTCAGCTGGGCGGCTCGGGGCATTTGGTGCAACCAGACATGAATTCGTCTTCCCATGCATAGATTTATAAACAGAAAACCAAATCACATCAGAGAACGAATGCTTCATCAAATAAAGTATGTTAAGAATTTTGTTGTGTTCTCTTTTACACAATAATGGAAAACTACAGGAGTATCTTTTTTTTTTGGTTTTTTAGAAATGTCATTTTTGAGTAATATTTCTTTCCAACATTTCTTCACTTTGCTTTGTTCCACATGGACTATCCCAGTCACAATGCAAGTGACTGCAGGAATGGAAAATCTGACTTTTAGGTTATTTTGTATATGAATTCTAACAACACACTCTCCTTAACCAAGACTGAAAACATCGTTATCTGTTTATCCATTGTTAGCCATACCAAATGCTCATTAATCACGCACATCATAAAGTGTTGCTTTGACATAACACTGAGGGTTTTTCAATATTTACATCAATTTTTTTGACATATAATTCCATACACTAAAAGGTACCAATTAAAATTTTTTAAATTTTTCAATTACAGTTGATATATAAGTGAAATCCTACAGTATTTGTCTTTTTCTGTCTGACTTATTTCACTTAGTATAATACACAGTAGGGTCCATCCATGTTGTCACAAATGGCAAGATTTCATTCTTTTTAATACTTGGGTAATATTCCATTGTACATGTATGCTACTTTATCCATTTGGCTGTAGAACAATTAGCTTGCTTCTGTATCTTGGCTGTTATAAATATCATTGCAGTGGACACAGGGGTGCGTATATCTTTTCAAATTAGTGCTTTGGATTTCTTCAGATAAATACTGATAAGTGGAATGGCTGAGTCATATGGTAGGGTTTTAAAATTTTTTTTAAATTTATGTTTTTACTGTTGTTCAAGTACAGTTGTCTTCATTTCCCAACCACCACCTTCCCCTGCCCCACCCACCCCCACCTCCCACCCTCAATCCTTCCCCACTTTGGCTTTGTCCCTGGGTCCTTTACACATGTTTCTTGGTGGCCCTTCCCCTTCTTTTCCTCCCTTCCCCTCTTCCTTCCTCCTCTCTGGTTACTGTCAGTTTGTTTTTTATTTCAATGTTGTTGGTTGTATTTTGTTTGCTTGTTTGTTTTGATTAGGTTCCACTTACAGGTGAGATCATATTGTATTTGTCTTTCACCATCTGGCTTATGTCACTCAGCATAATGCTCTCCAGTCCCACCCATGCTGTCATGAAGGGTAGTAGCTCGCTCTTTCTGCTGTGTAGTGTTCCATTGTGTAAATGTACCACAGTTCTATTTTTAATTTTTTGAGGACCCTCCATAACTTTCCCACAGTGACCGCACCAATTTACATTCTCATCAACAGTGCATGAGGGTCCCCCTTTCTCCATATCCTTGCCAGCACTTGTAGTTTGTTGATAGACATTCTGGCAGGTGTGAGATGATATCTCACTGTGATTTTAATTGCATTTCCCTGATGATTACACATGTTGAGCATCCTCTCATATGTCTATCGGCCACCTGTATGTTCTCTTTGAAGAAGTGTCTAGGTCCTCAGCCCATTTTTAATTTTTTTTTGTGGGGGGTGTTAAACTGTTTGGGAAATTTACCCCCTATCGAATTGGGGAGTTATCTCCCACTGTTTAGTAGGCATTTGTTTTGTTGATGGTTTGCTGTGCAAAACCTGTTTAGTTTTAGTCCCATTTGTTTTGTTTTTCATTTGTTTCCCTGGCCTGAGGAAACAGATAAAAAAAAAATATTACTAAGAGCCATGTCAAAGAGTTTACTACCTATGTTTTCTTCTAGGAGGTTTTATGGTTTCAGGTCTTACATTTAAATCTTTCATCCATTTTGAGTACCTTTTTATATGGTGTAAGTCAATGGTCTAGTTTCATTTTTTTTTGCATGTATCTGCCCAGTTTTCCCAACACCATTTACTGAAGAGACTGTCTTTACCCTATTACATGTTCTTGCCTTCTTTGTCACAGGTTAATTGGCCATGCAGGTGTGGATTCATTTCTAGGTTCTTTATTCTGTTACATTAATCTGTGTCTCTATTTATGCTAGTATTATGTTGTTTTAAATACTATAGTCTTGTAGTATAGTTTGGTATCAATATAGCTACAACATTGTTCTTTTGCAAGATGGCTTTGGTGATTTGGGGTGTTTTGTGGTTCCACGTAAACTTTAAAATTACTTGTTCTATTTCTGTGAAAAATACCATTGGTATTTTGATAAGGATTGCATTGAATCTGTGGATTTCTTTGGGTAGTATGGACATTTAAAGATGTTAATTCTTCCTATTCATTAGCACAGTATAGCTTTTCATTGACTTGTACCTTCTTTAATATCTTTCAGTTTTCTAAGTACAGGTCTTTCACTTCTGTGGCTAAACTTATTAGGTATTTTATTCTTTTTGATGCAACTGTAAATGAGATTGTTCTCTTAATTTCTTAGTGATAGTTTGTTACTGGTGTATAAAAATGCAACCAATTTCTGAATATTAATTTTATATCCTACTTTACTAAATTCATTTATTAGTTCCAATAGCTTTTCTTTAGGTTCTCTCTATATTGTATTATGTCATTGGCAAATAATGGCAGTTTTACATCCTGTCTGAATATTGTTTTATTTTCTTCTCTGATTACTGTGGCTAAGACTTCCAATACTATGTTGAATGAAAGTAATCAGCCATCCTTGTCTTATTGCTGATTATAAAGAAAAAGCTCTCAGCTTTTCACTGTTGAGTATATTAGCTGTGGATGTGTCATATATGGCCTTTATTATGTTGATGTATGTTCCCCGTATTCCTACTTTGATGAGCGTTTTTAATCAAAAGCGGATGTTGGACTTTGTCAAATGTGTTTTCTACATCTATTAATAATCATGATTTTTATCTTCCCCCTTTTTTTTTAACGTGGTGTATCACATTGACTGATGTGCAGGTATTGAACCAGCTTTATATCCACAAATAAATCCTACTTCATACTGGCGTTTGATCTTTTTAATGAATTTGGTTTGCTAATATTTTGTTGAGGATTTTTATGTACCTACGTTCACCAGAGTCACTGCCCTATAATTTTCTTTTTTCTTTTTGTAGTGTCTTTGTCCGGTTTTGATATCAGGGTGATGCCAGGCTCATAAAACCAGTTTCAGAGCATTCCCCCACCTCTTCAATTTTTTGGCACTTTTTTAGGATAGCAGTAATTGCTCTTTGAATGTTGGTAAAATTCATCTGTGAGGCCATTTGTCTGGTCTAGGACTTTTGGTTGTTGGAAGTTTCTGATTACTGTTTTGATTTTACTATTGGTTTGTTCAGACTTTGTTCCTCATTCAGCTCTGGAAGATCTAGGAATTGATCCATACCTTCCAGGTTGTCCCATTTGTTGACACTTAACTGTTAGTAGTATTTCCTGATAGTACTTTGTATTTCTGTGGAGTCAGTTGTCTCTTTTCCTCTTTGAGTTCCATGTGCACTTGAGAAAAAGAAGTCCATCCGGTCTAATGTGTCATTTAGAGCCACTGTTTCCTTGTTGATTTTCTGTCTGGATGATCTACCCACTGATGCCAGTGGGGTGTTAAAGTCCCCAACTGTGACTGTATTACTGGTGCTCTCTCCCTTTATGTTGGTCACTATCTGCTTTTTGTATATAGGTGCTCCTATGTTGGATGCCTAGATGTTTATAAGAGTTATACCCTCTTGATGGATTGACCCCTTTATTATTATGAAATGCCCTTCTTTGCCTCTTGTTATAGCCATTGCTTTAAAGTCTATTTTGTCAGGTATAAGTACTGCTACCCCAGGTTTATTTTCGTTTCCACTTGCATGAATATCTTTTTCCATCTCTTTGCTTTCAGTCTCTGTAGGTCCTTTGTTCTGAGGTGGGTCTCTTGTGGGGAGCATATGTACCGGTCTTTTATTTATTCATTCAGCTACCCTATGTCTTTTCATTGGAACATTTTGTCCAGAGAAATTATTGATGGGTATGTAGATCATTGCCATTTTATTAAGTGGTTTGATATTTTTTGTAGTTTTTCTCTTACTCTCTTTTTCTTGTATGTTGATGACAATCTTAGTTTTGTGTTTGGATTTCTTTTTATCTATTGTAGATGGTGTCAGGCTCAAAGTAGCTTAGAGAATATAAAGTCCTAATTAAAGAAGAGAACCCCAATAAGATTTGGGTTTAGATTGATCAGATTGCAATGTAATCATGATTCTCTATCCATGATAAAACACAAGAATTTCTAAGAACGCATTTTAGTAATGAGGGCTGGCAGTTTATGACCACCATTCGCCTGAGAAGGGCTATAAAAAGCGCAAGCTCTCAGGGCTGCGGCTGCAGTCCTTTTTAACAGATTTTAAGTCCTGACATTTCCTAGAGGTGTAATACTTCAAATCTCCTCTTTATGTAAGAAATTGTAACATGTCCAACTTGAGACATCAAAAAACATTTAGACTAAACACCAGAAAATGTAACTGTAGTTGAAAGGTCAAATTTATTAGCAGTTGAAGAGCTGTATTATACACGGACTATAAATACGGCACAGCTGACTTGATTCACAGAGATTCAGTCGGTGCCAATCTATTTTGTGGATACTCTTGTTCTTTTGTTCCAAGAAAAGTTTGCGCCATAAGACTTGGACTTGGGTTTTGGAACCTTCCTCTCTTCAATGTCATAGCTCCATCCTAGAAAACAAAAACAAACTTACAGGAACAGAATTAAAGAGCACACCTGAAGAACACAGTGAGCAGAGCTCATGTCCATAAATCCAGTGTTCATTTATCATCAGGAGCACATGTCAACACATCTGAAATATAAATACTTACTTAGTAATTTGTTCCCTTAATATCCTGTGTGACAAGGGGATTCAAAATATTGCCTGAAGGTGATTTCCTATGTCTTCAATTAAAGGGGTAACCCATCACTTGATTTCTGCTTGTCCATATGCTTTGTTCAATTACCAATGGTTATGTATTATAAGAAATATTCCATTCCTCTATGTGGTTTAATATGTGGCTTAGCTCATAACGGCCTCAAGGAGCCCTGACCAATATAACGCGTCTCTGTTTTCTAAACGCAGGTGCCTCGACAACAGTTCAGAGCTCTCAAAGTGACATGCAAAAACATATCCATGCTCATCTGCGGAAGTCACAGAGTTGGAGGAAACCATGAGAGATCGCTCAGTGCAGCTCCCTGGACTTCAATAGGCTACTGGTGAAACTCAAAATAATTTCCAACATTTGTCTCGGGGCTATCTGCATCAGAATCCCATAGAAGTACCTGGCAGTGCCCATTCTCAGCCCGACCACAGGCCCACTGGGTCGGAAACGCTGGTGGGAGCCTGGGATCGGGCACTTGGCTGCTGACCCAGGAGGCTGCCGTGCACAGAAGTTTGAGAGAGAAGCACCGTCTACATGGTCTGTTCCCTTCTGAGCGGGGCCCTCACTGTGTCTCATACTTCTGAGAACTGGATTTACCTATGTCTGTGTCTTCTGTTTTACGTCCAGTTCTTCAGTTTCCTTACGATATGGACAGCAACCCTATCAGTAGCCTCCTCTTCACATATGATTACATTATTCCTCTACCCCCCAGTCCAAGCAGCTTCTGTGACTTTAACTTTTCTTCCTAAGATCCATTATCCGCCCCTGTAATTTATCATTTCTCTCTCTCAGAACTTTCTTCAAATAATTTGTCTTGAAACATCTGACTCATGGCTGAATCATGCAGCCATGTATAGTATGTCCAAGTTCAGTACTACACAGTCTAACTGAGGGAGCCTCTTGATCTTGTGAGCCGTTCTCAGTCCCAGTGCCTCCTGGGGGCTCGCGCCTGCTGCTGCGCAGCTTACATTCCACGGCCCCCAGAATTCCATGATGCCACAAAAGTGAAGCCTCTGAAATGCCAGCGGCCCAAGGACACCCGTCCTATCGCCTGTGTCAGTCTCCAACAAGGGGGGAGAATTAATGACCCCCCTGCTAGAACTCCTCTTCATTTGCTATAAGGAAAGGAAGAAGCAGAAAAAGCACATGAAACCCATTATTTAAAAAATACAAATTAAACATCAGAATCCAGGAGAGAAGATGCTGGTTTGAGTCACTTGGTTAACATAACATTACTGTCAGAGCAGCGAAAGTTTTGAGTGCTTTTCTGCCCACTGACCCCAACAAAGGCTATCACCCAGCTCTGTATGTCTGTGGGAGAACCCGGCTAAAGCAGGCGCACTGAAAGTGGTTGTCTGCGTTTCAAAAAACTTCCTGAGGGGGATAAGAAAAGTGCCTATCCACAGGCTGTCATGAGGATTGGGCAGCTACCTCATATCAAGCGCTTAGAAAGCACCTGATGCTGAATGAGAAAGGCACTTTCCTAAAGTCTTTCTACACTTGAGGAAACTGAGGCACAGAGTGGTTGGGGAAACAGCACAAGGCCACTGAGCCCGGAAGGGCAGAGCCAGGATTTCAACACGCGCAGCCCAACTCTGCAGCCCGCGCCGCGCCGCCCCGCCCCGTCCCTGTGGCGCACAGTAAGCGCTGGGTAAGCGCCAAGCTGTTACTTCTCCCCCAAGTTTGGTTTGTAACTTACAACACTTCTTCTACGACAGCTATTAGTGTGAATAAAAGCGCTATCACATTGGAACCCATAATTTTGATTTTGTAATGCTTTGGATCTAGTTAGGTATAATCTGGCCTGGTTATTAACAATAGAAACAGGTTTTTAGTAAGCAAATTGATACTGTGAACTGGGCATGATGTTGAAATAGCTTTAACATGAACTCCTCAGGTTCTTCCTTCATCAGTCAACAAATGATGCTGGTAATTGTCAAAACACTCAATTCAAAAGAGAAGGTAAACAACAACGACATTTAATGAGCATTTACTATTCATTTAATAAACTGTACTGCCTGCCTGCTCTGGGTCAGGGACCGGTTAACACCAGAGGCAAAGCAGTGAATAAAACCATAAATTCTCAAACTTCAAGGCAGCAAAGGCAGCGAAGCGAGGAAGTGAATGTGCACTCCATGAGGTGTGACGGCAGTGATGCCTATGACTAAAAATGCGCCTTACGTGCTCGCGTGCACTGAGGGGAAGACATGTGAGAGGCGGAGGCCCGGGAGGCCGGCCCGAGGGCGGTCACACTGGAGCGAGGACCCGCAGGACAGATGCCAGGGCCTGGTCTCGTGACATCTGGGACAAGAGGGCGCAGGCCCGAAGAGCGGATGACGGGCCTCGAGGCAGGAAGGCCCACTGTCCTGTGCCCTCTGTCCCCCGGCCTGTGCGAAGTGCCTTAAACGTATTTTTATTGAGTTTTACAATGGAGTTCACAGGCGGCATGGCTTACGGGGTAGACATTATTATACACCAATTTCGTACTTAATTATGAGAAGAAAAATAAACTGTAGAGAAGATAAGCGGCCTAAAGCTGCCTGGCTACTAAGGGGCAACGCCAGGATTTAACCAGGTTGAGTTTAAAGCTGTGCCTTTCACTGCCACGTAACTAAAACTGCACTTCTACACCAATACCCTGGAATGGCACTTTTTATCTATGTCACCCACTCCTTTCAGTTGGGTGACTTCACAACTTTTCCCCTTCACGTCTGTAAGTGCCCCCGTCTGCCGCCCACCAGCTGGGGGAAGGAAGCGGATATTGTGAGATGCTGCGTCTGGTCCCAAAGGCGGTGAGTAAACCCCAGGCCCCCTGACCTTTCCTCCCAGGCCACGGGCAGAGCACACAGGCTCCCTCCCGAGTCCGCCCCCACTCCCCCACCGCCCCGCACGCTCTCCCCAGCCCAGCGGGACATGGGCAGAGGGACTGGGGAGGGGGCGCACTTAGAAACAGGCAGGAGTGGCATCGTGCCCCCCTCCCCGCCCCACAGTCACTTTCTCACTCAGAGGGTTCGTCGCTCTCCCTGCCGCACGGGGAGAAGACCCGTGCTACCTGCTTCATGGCGTCAGGGGGCAGGCGCGGCTCTAGTCCCTCTTCTGCGCCTGAGCCCGAAACGCCACCGGGTCCCTGTGAGGTGAGAGGGCGTGCTTTGTGCGCAGACAGAACGCAAGCTGGCTCTTGGGCACAGGGCCGGGGGGCCACACTAGCTGCTGCTGATGGTGGCAACCATGATAAACAGGGTGTCGTGACAGGGCCTGGGACGTGGACGGGCAGAGCGCCCTGTGAAAACGAACACACCCAGCCGTGGGGCAGACCTGCATTTGCCAACAGCCCGGCCTCTAGTCACGGCTCTGCACAGCCACCGTGACCGCTGGGGGGCCAGCGGAGGGCGGGGGGGGGGGGTCTGTCCCTCACACTTCTCTGTGGAAGACTACTGTGTTCCCAAAGCTGCTCAGGCAACTCTGCTTCTCAGATTCCGTCAAAGCGAAGGAGGGCGCAAGGACGTCTAATGACACCTCACAACAGAGACAAACTCAGGTCGCCATCTGTGTCTCCCTCCCCTTGGACTTTCCATGCAACATTCAGAAAGCTTTTCTGCGGTGGAGGGCTGGCGTTGGAACAACCGCCTCTCGTCTGAAACCCTGTCCAGAATCTGAGGCAGGTCTGCGCCTCCCTCTCCAGCGCCTGGTCCCGCTCTACATCGCAGCATGATCGTCCCCAAGCCGCTTTCTGTGATGTTGCGGCATTACAACGGCTCCTGAACGACATAAGCTTCGGCTAACAAGACGAACTACAGTAACTGTCCGAACAACACTTGGAAAGACACTGAACGGTCGCACCTAAAGGGGCACATTACGTGAACTGGGCTCATCTTTTCCACTTCCCATTTGAAACGTGTTCTTAAAGACAGAGTAACATGACTCGCAAGCAATGCCACACAGGGATTAAGAGTAGAGTCTTATCTGTGAACGGTTTGAATGTCTATGAGAATTTCTTCGCAGCCCCCAAATAAGGCTGTTTAAAAAAAAAAAAGTTAAGCTTGATTTTCTGAGTGGAATCATGAAGTGCAAGTGCCCACGCTGTGAGGAGAGCTCGTGCAAAACCACGGGCAGCCTGCAGGCCCTGCTTCCCAGCTGGGCGCCAGCGGGAGGTCGCGTCCCGAGGCGCGGGCCACCTGGGCTGGGCCGGGGGGCTCCCGGGGCCGCGCTCACTGCCCACTGGGGAGGGCCACCCGGTAGCAGGGGTGCTCATCTAAGCATGGGGACACTTTCACAAAGGCAGTTGGAACTTTAAGGCCTTACGTCAAGGAAGTACACTATGGCAAAACCTCTACTAAACTTAAAATACAATCTGTAATACGCTATACTCCACTTTCTTCCCCAGAAATATGCCCATTTATTGTGTCAGCCTCCACACTGTAGCTGGGATATTCTACTTTCTATGATAAGAACGTTTGGAGTATTCTTTTCAAATGCCACCAAAAACAAAACAAAACATAAAACCTCTGAACAAACCAGACCACAATTAACTTGTGAATTCCATGTGTGAGACAGAAAAAGAAAATCAATTCCGTTCATTTTTATGTGCGGAACCATTTTCTACTTGGTTCCGTAATACAAAAATACGGAGGAACAGCCACCCGCGCTTTGACCTCTGGTACACCACGTTCCCTCGGGAAGCCCTGGTTCAGGTTCTGCAGCCGGGCCCTCTCCTCCAGTGACCTACTCTCCAACCCCAGCATTAGTCCGGAGGCGAGCCGTCTAACGACTTTTTTCCCCACTGCCCATTTGTGCACCAAGCAGGA